CGGGCATGGTAGTGCATGCCGGTAATCCCAGCTACTCAGGTGGCTGAGACAGGAGAATCGCTTGAACCCTGGAGGCAGAGTTTGTGGTAAGCCTAGACCCCCACCTTGTTGCCCCCAACTCCAACCTGGGCGACGAGCGAAACTCCGTCTCAAAATAGTAATAATGTTATATTATGTGTCTATTAACAGATTTATGCAGATTTTATATTTTGGTTTTCATATTCCATAAAACTTGAAGGGTTGTTTGCACCATCACCTTGATAATAAAGAATTCTATGTGTATTTGTATATTTACATTGAATAGAGAGCTTTATACTTAATATATTTAATAGCGATGGTTTTATGATGCTATCCAGCATTTTTTTTTTCTTTTAAAATAATGGACTCATTTCAGAATTTTGTTTTCTTTTTTCTTTTTTTGTGAGACAATCTTGCTCCTTCGCCCAAGTGCAATGGTGCAATCTTGGCTCACTGCAACCTCCGCCTCCTGGGTTCAAGCGATTCTCCTGCGTCAGCCTCCTGAGTAGGTGGGACTATAGGCACATGCTACCAAGCCTGGTTAATGTTTTGTATTTTTAGTAGAGACAGGGTTTCACCATGTTAGCCATGATGGTCTCAATCTCCTGACCTCAAGATCCACCTGCCTTGGCCTCCCAAAGTTCTGGGGTTACAGGTGTGAGCCACCGCAGTGGACTTTTTTTTCATATGCAGAGTCTCACTGTGTTGCTCAGGCTAGTCTTGAATTTCTGGTCTCAAGTGATCTGACTCCCTTTGCCTCTTAATGCTGTAGAATTACAGGCACAACCTACTGTGCATGGACATCACATAGCATTTTTTTGTAGGACTGTACTGGTTTTGCTGGATATCTTCAACTATTATATTGGAAAATATTTTTATCTTGTTTTTAAAGGAAAATAATTTCAAATCAAATATAATTGGTTAGAAATATACATATATATATATGTGTATATATATTTGAGATGGAGTGTTGCTCTGTCACCCAGATGGGAGTACACTGACATGATTTCCTCTCACTGCGACCTCCACCTCTTGAGTTCAAGCGATTCTTCTGCTTCAGCCTCCCGAGTAGCTGGGATTACAGGTATGCACCACCATGCCTGGCTATTTTTTTTATTTTTAGTAGAGACAGGGTTTCACCATGTTGGCCAGGCTGGTTTTGAACTCCTGACCTCATGTGATCTGCTGTTCTTGGCATCCCAAAGTGCTGGGATTACAGGTGTGAGCCACCACGCTAGGCCAGAATATTTTTTATTTATAATAAAATAAAATATATTTTATTTATAGTTCATCAAAATTTGATGAACTAGCAGCCTTTTTTATCTTCACATAACCTGTCTATTTTTTCATTTATTCTTCTTCTAAGAATCCCGTCATGAATATATTGATGTATTTGATTATATCAAGTAAGTTTTCTATTCCATGTTTTAATTTCATTTTGAAACGTTATATTTTTGTGTTACATATTTTAGGGTATGCCTTGTCACACCAGTTAATTGTATTGTAATTTTTTAGTCTATATTATAATTGTGTATTAAAATATTTAACTCTGCAATTTAAGACAGTGTGGAGAAAAATGAAATATAAACCAGCCATATCTCTGTTTCCAGTATTATCTCTATTTTTTTTCTGTATAAATATTGCCATATGTTTTAATGAGTTGTATGTTTGTTTTGTAGGTTTAATTCTTTTTTTTTTTTTTTTTT